TTTCAGAGTCAGCTGTACCAAACCTGTGACCATCTGCTGTAAGGCACATGTACCGTCATGCTGCTCGATGGTTATTGGAAGCCTTTCCAGTGTGCAGATCCCCAGTACTCTGATATCTTCAAACAACTTCATTTGCTGACATTTTTTAGTTGAAAAGGCTAGATAAGAAAATCAGGAAAGTATCACAGAAAATGAGTGCGATGACAAGATGCTTGTTTCACAAGTTTTACAGCCGTGCAGTAGCAGAGTTAAATTATAGACGATAACAGATATGACTCTTCCTCCTGCTCCTGCAACACATGAAATACAATGAGCTGCAGCGACTGCAGTGGGAAATTAGAGCTACAAACAAAAACTGTGCTGCAGTACGTCTGGAGTCATGTGCTACTCCAACACTTCACTGCTGTAGAAAAACACTCATATTTTACCTGGATTATATACAATAATTTACATTGTACCATAGATTAAAATAGATTGAACAGAAGCTCACTCTGAAGGGATTAAAGTCAAACCTCCTTGGGTCTGAATTCTCCCACAGCAGCATTGTGGTTGTTTTGCTCTCTGGAGGTCACACCGGTCTTATCGGTGCACCAACACTTCCGTCCTCCCACAACTATTTTCTGTGGCCCGATAAAACTGTGATGCATTGCCCTTAGTCCTGTTGTTGTAATGTTTCATTGCCAGGGCTTCCTGCCATTGTAGCAGGTTCAAGCTCTGATTTGCGTAATTCTTTAGCTCTCATTGTAGACCCAACTATCTTGCAGGTGCTCGCCTCTTGTTTAGTTTTCTCTGAGTGTGAGCAATAAGGAAAGAAAAGTGAGTGACTGTTGACGCTTGGTTGAAAACAACCTCTAGGCCCGTATCAGAAATCCTCTGAGGAGTTAGAGGATAGGAGCGACACTGCAGCCGTATAATCTCCAGCTCTCTGTGTCTCCATGGGGAGCAGTGCTCCTACCACCACTTCCTTCATGGCTACAGTACTCAGGCTGTTACATAAGCTTCAGTTTGTGCTGCTGTGTAGTTTTCTCTGGCTGTCTGGGAACAGGCATGTGTTCTGCAGTGCACTGCTGCACAGTGCCCATCCCCCTATTTGTTTGTCCCCCCACTGCCTCCTTTCTTGCCCCCGCCAGCTGTTTGGTGTGGCTCAGGGGTTATGTAAGTGCATCCAGTTTGTGCGAAGCCGACAATTCCACATTGACTTACCAGGTGACCCAGCTTAAGGTCCTTTGCTTTACAAACCATTGCAGCTCACCTGGATGACTGGAGTACGAAAGAGTGTCACTGAAAAATGATATATTAACACATCTATAACTTAAAATATTATAATTTTTTTAGAGTAAAATCACAATCATAGTTTTCATTTTAAACTTGATAATCTTAGCAATGTCAAGAGGGCACCAGGACATCTGGCAATAAAACAATCCAAAGACATTGCATAATTACCATCCGTTGTCTGTATTTCTGTCTCCGGACAGAAATACATGTGCTACCAGCTGCGTATCCAGTTGGTCAACTTGCTGTTGTAAAGTCCAAATATAATGTTTGGTGGTTTACGTATTTCTCTCTTTCCTTTCAGTGCCTTGCTTTTTTCCATTGAATGGAATGTGACCACAAAAGATATCAGCCCGATGTAACCTAGGCCAGGGATCCTCAAATCCAGGCCGGTGTCCTGCAACTTTTACATGTGTCATTGGTTCAGTACGCTTCAATCAAATAACTGAATTACTTCCTCAGTATGCAGCAAAGTTCTCCAGAGTCCTGCTAATAACCTGATTATTTGACGCAGGAATCTGGCCTTTTAGGCCTGGATTTGAGGATCCTTGGCCTAGAGTGTTCTAGAGTTGGCTACATGGACTTGTTGCACCTGACTTTTATGGGTTAAATGATCTCAGCGGTCCTGCTTCAAGTGGAGGAGTTTCAGTACCTTGGAGTCTTGTTCACTAATGTGGGAAAAAAGGAGTGGTAGACGGACAGTCGGATTGGTGGGGTGTCCGCAGTGATGTGGACGCCGTACCGGTCTGTTGTGGTGATGAGAGAGCAGAGGGAAAGGCAAGGCTCTCAGTTTACTGTTTGATCTACGTTCCTACACTTATCTGTGGTCATGAGCGTTGGGCAATGATGGAATGAAATTGCGGACACAAGTGACCAAAATGAGCTTTCTCTGCAGGGTGTCTGGGCTGACCCTCAGAGTTAAGGTGATAAGCCAGTGGGAGTCTCACAGGAAGACCCAGGACACCCTGGAGGGACTATGTTTCTCAGCTGTCTGGAAACGCTTTGGGATTCCACCAGAGGAGCAGGTTCAAGCAGCTGGGGAGAGGGTGTCTGGAGTTCTCTGCTTAGGCTGCTCATATTTTAAAAATGTGGTCATAATGATAACCTGGCAAAACTCTTTATTTTTACCAAGTGAGTTCGAACATCTGAAATATAAAATGTATAGCCTCTACTGGAATTTGGTTATCTATTTTCTTCCTCCATGCTTCATGATAATCTGTTAATCTAAGATAATACTAATAACACTAATAATCTGTGCTCAGCCTGTTAGTATTCAGAAAAAAATGTTTGTTAAATAATTCCAAAAATAAGCCAGACTGCATTCAGTTGAGGCCAACCCAAGCTTTTGCCATTCCAAGTCAAGTGAATCTTTGTTGATGCAGACAGAGCATCTGCACAGTGTATTTTGAGGTTAAGTAATCAGCATTTGCGAAGTAGTACTTGAATCAAAAGCAGTGGTGAATGTATGCAGTAAATATGACGTCCCTATATTCCAAAGTTATTGCCATAGTACTTTTTTTTCCCAAAAAATCTTTGACTTAGCTGGTGATCACATTCCACATTTTATTTTATTGGCTTCGATAAAAATGATGCTGGAGCACATCTACTAAAGACAGTGTATCTTCATATGCCATACCAACAGAGGGCAGACAGCAGGGGTAAAGATTAAATCACATAGGTAGTAAAACATTGTTCCCTTCCCTTTAAACAATCTAAGCCCTGATGGAATGTCATTGCTAGCTGACAGGTTTTGTGCTCTATCTGATTGGACACAGAATTTCCTTCATTCTGTGTCCAATCAGATAGAGCAGAATCAACTGTGAGTCTTACAAAGACACGAGGAAACTAAATATAGCTGAAGAAAGAAAAAGTAAAAAATAAAACTTGTCTCCTAGATACAACACAAAACTGCAGGGCACTAAAATCTAGTAGCCAAGTACTAACTGGAACAAACCCCCTCAAAAATTACCATTTGAGGCTAATGTGTTCATGCAAAGCAGGAAGGGGGAAACTACCTTGACTTTTGAAACATTTGCTTTATAGACGTTTGTGTTTTCTGTTTATCAGTTGTTTAAGTAAGCTCCTGGCTCCTGGTTGGCCTATTTGTGAAGACAAAGATGTAGATGATTTTGTGAAAGAGGCCATGTCCCTTAAGGACTGAGTTTCTGTGTCCCCGCAGGGACAGAGAAGGGTTTCCCTCAGCTCCTGATCCATTTCTAAAACTGACCAATTGGAAATGATGAACCTCCCTGGATATGTTCAAAACAAAATGTCTTTTTTGGTTAATTTTTTAATTTGTTTGTTTTTAATTTAATTTAAATGCAAGACCAATGATGTACTTAGTTTTTATATGTTGTTTTGTTCAGTTTACTGTCCACGTGATCTGATTTGTTCCGTTCTGTGTTAGTGAAAGCAGCCCATCAGGTCATTTACCGATCACAGAATACGTGGGAAACGCCAAAGACGAGCCGGTGAGCTTGAACTTGTCAGCTCTTTTCAGAGATGCTCCTCTTTGTGTTTTCTGATCGCAGCAGGTTATGTGGTGGGCGTGAATAATAGACCTCCTTATTAGTGCCGTCTCTATAGCAACACAGCGTGTTTGCCAGGCAGGTCAGTGTCTGGGAAGTCAATGGGTTCATGTACGTACAGACATCCTGGGAGCTTCAGCAGATTCTAGTGATCTATAGTGTCTGATAAAGATGCAGATACCGCGTCCTCCTTTAGCAGTGGTTATCTAAAACATATAGAGACTGGATCATTTTGTGACCACTGGGTGCCTTTGAACTCAGTTTACTTATGAGTTGAATGGTGAAATTAGACCTTCAGACATTTACTGTAAAGAACTCTATTAAAAAGCATAGAAAATATTTTCCTTCCTACCATAAATGATCATTTATTTTAGTATGTTAGAAACAGAGGCACATCTGTGTGTGTTATATATAAATACTAGGGCTTAGTTGATATGTATCCAGATATCTGGGAAAACAACTACATTTTTATGTATTTTGGCCTCTTTTAATAGAATTAAAAACAATTACTTATAAAAACAAAGTGGAGATTTGAGAAATGGAGATTTAGAATCCCACGCATTACAGTCTGTAACAAATAATTTGCCATTTTATCCACGTACTTGCTTTGAAATAATTCCCAATCAACATCGTTTTGTGTTTTAGTAACTTTATATTTTAATACACTATTTAAAATTGGTTCAATCTATCTCGCCACACAAATTCCTAAGCAGCAAGTTGTATTTGTTTTGAAGCAATCTGATTGGTTGACATAGGTTTTAGCTTTGCACTAGGATGATGTGTTTTTTTTTTTTGACCGTATCAAAATTTGTGTATTTTGCAAAACTGCAATGGAAACACTTGACACATCACGAGTCACCTATCAACAAATGGATATCACTACTGTCGGAAACGACAAAGGTGACAGGAAGTGGTAGGAGGACAATGTTTTTTAATGACTTATTGTGTGATTTTAATAGCATTTCTTGTTTAACAGAAACACAGCAATTGCAAATTTGTATTTTGTTTTTCAACTCTCAACAAATATCAACAAGGTTTTGCGCTCTTTTGTGATGGGAGCGCAGCTTATGTTGGACCCTCCAACTTCTCTTCTCCAGGGTTGCTTTACCAAACTTTATTTCTGCTTGTGCAGAAATGTTTTCTGCACAAGCATTTCTCTGCTCTGTGGTGTTTAAACTGTGCTCTCCTTGTCTTCTACAGAAACCAGCCAACATCCTGGTGATGGGAGAAGGTCCTGAACGAGGCAGAGTTAAAATTGGTAACAATTTTTTGTTTTCATGTCTGTTTGAATACAATGCAGAGACTGTGATATCATCATTGCAGTGGGTCAGTAAGGTTTGTCAGTGTTTAACCCTTCCTTTGGGAGGTTAAATCAGGAGCCCAGATCAGTGTTATATAAGCCATCTGGCAAGAGACTGTTGGAGGGTAATGCTGCAGAACTGGGATCTATTTTTAAACCCTCCCACTAATAGAATGAAGGTGTTGTACCAGTGCAGCCACACTCTGAAGCTTCGCTGCGAGGGAGGATTGCAGCGGACACACTGAGCCCGGCTGAGCTGCAGGGGCAAGCAGATCAGAAGTCAAGAGAAGTGCAATGGGAATAACTTTGTTCTCAGTTAGTTTATACCTTCAGTTTTCTATGTTGATAAAAGAAACTGATCAAATTGACTCGTGTTTCTCGAATTGTACAATTATATTCAAAGCTTTTAAATTAGAGATACACCAATCAGACTTTTTTGGACGCATTGCCAATTTTTGTAGATTTGCTTTGCCCCTTAAAGGGGTAGTACTATGTAAAATCAACTTTTTTGAGCTTTATCTTATGTTATAATCTTATTCCTTTATCAAAAACATACCTGACATTTTGCATTGATTGAGAAATCCTATAATCTCTATGACAACCATTCAACTGTGCAAAATGGTGATTTTTTTTTTTACTTTCTAACCAGCCAGTCCATATAATCATTGACTGAGTAGGGGCCACAAGTATGTCTGTCACAATAACAAATGTAACAAAAGTTATTGTGATAAATTATAATATTGTTGTTTTGAGACCATTTTCAGTTTATGCAATGGCCATAGCATGATGATGCAAGAAAACATTCTCAAAGATCAATAAACTTTCAATTCTAGTGAACATTTAACACTGGAACTGGAAGACATTTTAAATACCCCAAATAAATAAACAAAACAACAGAAAGAGCAAATAAAATGAATTATGAAATCTCTGTAAACAGATTGGCTCTCTCAGATTGGCTAGTTGAGACCAAAGAGGAAAAAAAGTTGAGAGAAAAACAATAAATCATGCAAATGGAATTATTGAATAATCCTAATTTATCATGTGATTAATTGATTTATTACTTATTGCTACAGGACTTACCTGTAGCAATAAGCCACAAGTTCTCAGTGCATATCCTTAAACGGTTCTTTGCAACATTTTAAGGAAGTGTCTCTAAATTTCAAAGTTCTTCTAATAGGCAGAGGTTATGTTGGACATCTGCACCGTTTTACAGTCTCATTAGTGTGTCTGAAACATTTCTAGAGGGCTTTAGAAGAATGTCACATGTGAGAATCACAGCCTCCTTCACTCATGTCACCGTCACATAATTCCTTTGTTTGATCAGCACATCTTGTCTTTTCTGTGAACACCACACAGCTGACATGGGGTTTGCCAGACTCTTCAACTCTCCCCTGAAGCCCCTGGCGGACCTCGACCCCGTGGTGGTGACCTTCTGGTACCGGGCCCCTGAGTTGCTCCTTGGGGCCCGGCACTACACCAAAGCTATCGGTGAGTGTGATTCATCCCACCATTGAGATATGAAACAGGCAGGCATTTGGTGGTTTATGTTGAGTCACTCTGGGGCATAAACAGGCGAGCTGCTGAAGGGGTATCCATTAACCACTGACTTGAAAGGGGTGAATATTTCTGCAATCACTTAATTTATGTTACGTATCTGTATTTTACTGTCATTATATTGTAGAAATCAGTAAAACGTAAAAGGGGCTGAATTCTTTGTATAAATTAAAAGACAAATTAGTTGGATCTTTAAGTAGAACTCCACCTCTTTTCTCATTAACACAGTTTTTTTTTTTTTGCTGAATTGAGAGATTCTTGTAGCATTTGAACCTTCTGCTGAGACGTAAAAAGAGATTTTACTGAGAAACTGAAAATTGCTTTGGAAGAATCTTCACCTTTTATCAGATTCTTCTAAAATTTGATGTTAATCTTGATCTTATCGCCACCTACTGACAAAGATATCCATTGTTTCAGTAGGTTGGATTTGAAGACTCTGGATAAATAAAATAGATTTTTAGATTCAGAATTCAGTCATCTTCATTAATGTTCCAGTGGGTAATTAATTTTTCAGCAAAATAGCAACACACCAACAATTAATATTTAACTGCAGGGCGTGGCACTAACATTCCACTACTGTAACCAGTGGTCATTAAAAACACAAAACTTGACAATCAAGTTCTGGTAAGACTGAAAAGTTGAACAGTAAATAAACCAATAAATACAACATAAGCAACATTTAAAATCCCTCACACACCATTTTGCCAAGGAATACTTAGCAATTATTTTCATTATTTTAATCTCCTTCCTTCATCCACTTGATTCAAAGTTCTAATCAAAACAACACTGATTTAAAAACTGTGTGTGTGTTACATCAGACATTTGGGCAATTGGCTGCATCTTTGCGGAGCTGCTAACGTCGGAGCCCATCTTCCACTGTCGCCAGGAGGACATCAAGACCAGCAACCCTTTCCACCATGACCAGCTGGACAGGATATTCAGTGTGATGGGTTTCCCTGCAGGTCTGCATCCAGAACCCCCAACCACAGCTTCAAACAAACCACCCCGTTGCTGTTGAGTTAGTTACATTAGCTTTCATTGTGTACTTTAAGCTGTGTGTTAAAACGGCAACACAAATACACAGACACAAATGTTGGAGGAATTTGCTAATTTGACCAGTTTTAGCCCTAAAGCAGCTACATGTTTGCTCTGTGTGCAGATAAAGACTGGGAGGACATCAGAAAGATGCCAGAGTATCCCACGCTGCAGAAGGATTTCAGGAGGACAACGTGAGTGAACCTTTATTTCATTTAGAATTTTATTTCATTTCCCTCTGGGACCAATAAAGTATTTTTGAATTTGAATTTGATGAAGAGGTTCTGAGTTCATGATGATGTCTGATAATCTAAAGTACCAGATATGGCATCATTTGTTTTCATCCTAACAGGTATGCAAACAGCAGCCTCATCAAGTACATGGAGAAACACAAAGTGAAGCCTGACAGCAAGGTTTTCCTCTTGGTAACTAACACACACACACACACACACACACACACACACACACACGCACACAATATATCTTTCTGTCTTCGCATGTCATTGACATTAGTTAGTTTTTAATTTATTTCCATAGCCTAACTCAAAAACAGTACTTGCTTGTATGGGGCCTGGGCATCGGGCCCCATAAGGAGCAGTTGCTCCTCACAACGTAGTATTTATTTTTTACTCAACTCTTGTCTTTAAAATATCGAAAAAGTTCTATGTTATATAATCACTTCTTTGCAGAAAAAAAAATCAAGTAAATCATTAGCATTTTTTAAAAATAAATATCTGATATTAATTTCTGCAGTACGTAATAAAGAATGAGCAGTAGTTATATCTGCAGACTCCTGTGTCTCTCTTCCGGGCTTTTTAACCAAACGGCCAGACAGAGAGTTGAAGAGGAGCGGCAAAAGCAAATGAGACACATTAGCAGAGTTAGACAACAACTGATGATGTCATACAGGATGATACTGTGGAATATTGTCTCTGTTGGCTGGATATTGACCTGTCAGTAGATCATAGAAGTCATGAGAGTGTCATACAGCAGCATTCTTCAGTCAGAGGCCTCATTAGATTCATGGTGAGACTGACTGCTACTGGAGCTCCTTCCTGCCCACAGCATCACCATCCACAATGACTCTTTGAAGATACTTGGATGATGTAAGACACAACATTTAGTTTCTCTTTGGGATAAATTAAAGTATTTTTTAAATTTAATTGAATAATTCAATTAAATGAAAAATAATGAAATTCTTGACCATGATGAGCGTTTCTATGTGAATTTGCCCAGCCTCACATTTTCACCATGTTGGACATTTAAAACATTTAAAATGTCATGACAACAATGAAGGGATCCTTCCTTTACAGAAATATTTGCGCCTGAATTCAGTCATTTCAGAGTAGAGCCAGCAAGGTTTTGCCCCCAGCGCTGTGGTTCAATGAGAATCATGGCTGTGTTTTTAATTTTAAGTTGTTTTTTTCTGTATTATATAAAAAATGAAGGAATAGTGACAGTGGGGTCTAAATTTGTTTATTTAATGAAGGAATAGTGACAGTGGGGTCTAAATTTGTTTATTTAATCAAAGAATAGTGGCAGTGGGGTCTAAATCTGTTTATTTAATGAAGGAATAGTGGCAGAGGGGTCTAAAACTGATTATTTAATGCAACACTTTCTGCTCTCTGCCCCCCAGCTCCAAAAGCTCCTCACCATGGACCCCACCAAGCGAATCACGTCGGAGCAGGCTCTGCAGGACGCCTACTTCCTGGAGGAGCCTTTACCAACCACAGAGTGAGCCCAAGAAAACTTGTTCCTCAAGACCTTTAGTAGTGGGGGGGAGGTTCCCTCTTTCCCTTTCATCATGTCTTCCTGTTGTTAATCCTGTGTTGCCACTGTGCGCTGGTGCAGAAATGCTTTATGTGAGGACCTGATGTGTTTTTCTCCAGTGTGTTTGCTGGCTGTCAGATCCCCTACCCAAAGCGAGAGTTTCTTAACGAAGATGAACCTGAAGAGAAAACAGATAAGGTGATTTATTCTCAACTGTTTGCTGTTCTTGTACTCCATGATCCATTCAGATATGTTTCACTGATGTGGGATTTACCTGCTTTAGATTCACCATTAAGGCTTCTGGTGAATGGACAGGCAAAACAAAAAACCTGACTTGCATCGAAAAAAATGCATCGAAGAAATAAATGAATTAATAAATGGACATCAAATAATTACATGCAGACAAAATTATACCAATAACACAAACAGTCATTTCCCTAATTCTTCAAAAGGTTCAGTCTTTTCCCACTAACTGTGGTGGTAGTTCAGAAGTTTTTTTTTTTTTTTTTTTTACTTTAGTTAAGTTTTTGGCACAAACAAATAAAAATAAATATTTAGGATTCAATTAATAGTTGAGTTTTACATTAATTACAAATTAGCTTGTCCAGAAATTCACCAATCATGTGGCGCAACAAACATGATGTCATTCACTAAAATACATTCAGTACTGTTAGAATAAACCGAAAATAAGCCCAGATTTTATAAGCACTTCACTAACAATGCTACGAGCATTAGCTTTTCAATAGATAAATAAAAATAAATCAAAATAAATAAATAGGCCAATGGCAGTTTAACTTAATTAACCAAGAATAATCAGTAGTCCCATTTCAAGATCTTAAACACTTTTACACACAAACTTATCAAAAATAACCAAACTCTACTATTGAACGACTGTGGAAGTGTTAAAATAAAGGAAACCTGAAAACAAATCTTAGTGGAAAAATTAACAACACTTGACAAAACAATCCAAACAGTCTGAATGTCAAGCAGCTCACCGCTGAGTTTGGTAACACCATGTCAAGTTTTCATCCAGTTCTGGGACATAAAAGGTAAACAGCTTCATCCAGCCATGCACAGCCAGAACGGTTATAACAGCGCCTCCGGTGGCTGGAGGAATGAACAGGTTTTAGACTTGGTGAAGTTGGATAAAAATTTTTGCAGTTATTTTTTTGTTACATTTTTGTCCTCTTGTTGGGCTCTGGTGACCCCCAGAGGGGATACGCCCCACATTTTGAAAAGCCAGTTATTAAAGGTATTATTAATCAAAAACAGCTCTAAACAATTAGGTTCTAGTCTTGATTTATAGAATTCAGTGTTTCAGCAGTACAGACTTTTCTGACACTGGTTGACAGCGTTGAGTTGAGAACATGATGCTTCTCTCTTATTTTGAAATGTTCAGAATCCCAGGATAGTAATATTGTAACGTCCTGCATTGAGGCTAAGAAAATGTCATATTGTTGATTTTAATAAAACAACAACAAAAAAAGTCAGTCTGTGATAAGTTATAAACTCAAGATTTCCCAAAGAATCATCTCTGATATGAAGATCAGTAATTTATGGATTTGTCCAACATAATTCTGGCTTCTTTAAACCAAAATAAGGCATCAGAATGTTGGTTAATATCCACAGGATTCCCAGTCACTTTGATTCTGGAGTCTTTGGGACATTCGGCAGTTTGATCCCTTCACAGCCTTGTGCATATATTTCAAAGTACCAGATGTGTGTGGAGACTTCCACATTCTTGCTGTAAAAAGCACAGATTTGGTTTCTTACACACTGTGACAGTGGAATGGATTGTGAGAAATCTGGAGCCTGTTAGAATCTGCAGTCTCTCCTCTTGCCTTTCAGTTATTTTTACAGTGTAATATATCACTGAAAGGGTTCAGCTGTGACTTTGCCAAAGGCAGGAATGCACCGTCCATGCAGTGACAGACCGCAGCAGGAGGTGGAGGTCATTGTACTGCGAGCAGCTGAAAGGTCCAGCTCTCATCAAAGATGGTTGTTGGGTTAAGGAAACATTTCTCTGATGTGGAATCAGAAGGATTTTCCATCTGATGTACTGATAAAGGAAAAAAGGACTGGAGGTTAGAGAAGTGTGTTAGCAATGCAGAGGCAGGAAGACATCAAGTGTGATTAGGGATGTACGCCATATCAGCACTAATATCTGTGTCGTCTGATATTAGTCATTTTTTAATATATCGTATCAGGCTGATAAATAAAACTGGGCCGATCTGTAGCACCCCTCCGGCACAGGGATGCTACAGTCAGAATATCAGGTGTGTTTTTGAAGATTTTTTTGATGTTTATTTCCATCTTGTTTGTTTCTGGAGGTTGGTCATACGGTATTTGTTTAGCCATGTGATAGTGGCAGTGATGCAACAAAGGATTGTGGGAGTTTAACTGAAGCAGAGAAGCAGTGGGGAAGTGTGTTTGTTTTTTTTCTTTGTTTATCCAGTGATTACACCAAGTTGTTCATATTCCTTACACATTACATAACTTTTCATATCTTTTTAAAATATGTATCATAAGAATTGAGAGCAGAGAAAACACAAGAACAGAGGAAAAAATGAGTTGAATGTTAGGGGCTAAGATATTTTACCTATCTGTGGTTGTTTATTTCAAGGTGTCAAATGGGTGGTGAAATATTTATTATATATTTCATTTAGGTATAAAAAATAATAGCAAAAAGGCCATAACAGTAATAAATATACTGGATATCAGTACTGACCCAAATGTTCATATCATTGCTTCTGTATCTGTGATCATAGAGAAATAACTACTGCTGCCCTCCAATCTGGAAAAGATTAGAATTTTTTTCCAAACACTTCAAAGGTCGTCATTCTGCAGTGGGAACAAAATTATTCACAAGTAAAAAACATTTCAGACGGTTTTCCCTGCAGAACATTTTATTATCTCAGGGAAGAAGGGGGCCGCAGGTGCGAGACAGAAAGTTAAAAATAGAGAGGCAACAAGGAGGTCCGCCGGGAGTCAGGAACCAGAATATCTCATGGTCCAGTTTTCTGAGGCCTCCCTCATGTTCACCTCTTGCTGCAGAACCAGACCCAGCAGCACCAGCAGACGACGGGCCAGACCCAGGGCCAGACCCAACAGCAGGCGGCGGCCCAGCAGGCCCCTTCCCAGCAGAACTCGGCTCAGACCAACGGCACCACAGGGACCACAGGGGCTGCCGGTGGAGGCGGCATGCAGCATGTGCAGGACCAGGGCCCGCCCAACAAGAAGCCTCGAATCGGGCCCTCTGGGGCCTCCTCCGGCACAGGGGTGCTACAGTCAGAATATCAGGTGTGTTTTTGAAGATTTTTTTTGAGAAAAAAAAAAAAAAAAAAAAAAAGCATCAGCTGGCTCCTGCAATCAGGACGTTTTATGCTTTACTGACACGTATTCACTGATTGGCCAGTTAGAAACAACGAAGCTAAGCTAGTTTTTGTTTACGGTGTCTAAACACTCACAGACGGCACTGACAACCAACTGTTAATGTTTTTGCTAAACAGAATCACGAAAACTGAAATAAGAAAACATTTTTGTTAAGTGAAATAAATAAAAATAATAACTAATGGGGCAAAACTATAACCAATGTTATAGTATAATGTTGTTTAATAATGTTGTTTATAAAACTAAAATTATATATATACATCTATCTATCTATCTATCTATCTATCTATCTATATATATATATA